GGACTTCCAGTCCTTAACATTTGAACCTGGATTTAAAAGTTAAGGACTGCCTGTCCTAAACTGTTTAACCTGCAAGTCAAAACTTAAGGACCGCCTGTCCTTAACATTTAAACTTGGAATTAAAAGTTAAGGACTGCCTGTCCTAAACTTTTTAACCTGCAAGTCAAAAATTAAGGACTTATGTCCTTAACTTTTCAATCTATAATTCTAACTTAAGGACTTCCTGTCCTTAACTTTTTCAATTTGAAACTCAAACTTCAGGACTTAGTATACAGAAGAACAACAACAAAGTGAAGGACATTGTGTCATTAAGTTTTTCAATTCAATTTGCAAAATGAGGACAGTAGAATCAAAGTTAAGGACATCGTGTCCTTAATTTTTGAATTCAATTTCCAAAATGAAGACACTATGTCCTTAATATTATGTGCTCAAGTTTTATAGAATTATCATAGGAGGCGATGTCCTTAAGTTTATCAATCCAGAAATTCAAAAAAAAAAATCAAATTCTTATCTATTATATAATCAAATCAATACAAATCGGAAAAAGTATAACTATATCGAAGTAAAAATCGATAGAAACACATGAAAGTATAACTTACTGTTTATCTATGTCGATTTTTTGGATGAGAATTTTGAATTTTTCGTCCAGTCGCTGCTGCTGCTGCTGCGATCGCCGGCTGCTGCTGCTGCTTTTGGTTTTCGTCGAGTGTGTTATAATAGCGTAGGTATAACTTATATCAGAAGGGTATTTTCGTCCAGTCAGGTATAAGTTTATTAAAGTAGTGGTTAAAGCCTAAATACATTGAAAACAATGGCTTTAAAATAAAAGCAACTGCTTTTAGTGGCTATTTGTGCACTTCCCCCATGAAAAGAGAAATGTATATATTTAGTCGCTCCCAAAATAATAGTCGTTAAAATATATATTTTATATATATAATATACAAAACATATACACAATTTATGCTTTTTTAGCTAGCGAATGAAATTAATTTTAATTGACCGACCAATTTTATATTTTGCCTCCGGAAAGCCTGAACGAGACGGCCACACCTATATACGTCTTTTGTAAGTTGGGTACACGATAAATTTAGTCAACTTTATGGCATTACATCAGTACCGATCACTAGCTAGCTTGAAACACAAGCCTCACCTAATTCGAGCTACCAAAGTTGTACCCTGTTGCACCACTTATTCAACAATAAACATGTACTAAATTGTTATTCCGATATTTACATCAAATCGTATCAACTTAATTATTATAATTAAGTGAAAAAATTAAGTTGTATACACCAATAGCGTAAGGATTTTTTTTTTTTTTTTTGGTAATTAACATTTTCATTACCAGGAAAAATATTTACACATTACAAGTAAATCAAACCCTTACAATTTATCCTACTTTGCTATACTTCATCCCTCCGCATTTCCTGTTATTTACACATTTATCTATCTATTATATTGAGTACCAATTTAGTCTATGTAGTATTTTCTCTGTATGTTTGCTACTTTGACTATGCAATTCTTGAATTATCTTCTTACATAAGGATATTTTTTACTACTTTAACATATTATAATAAGTGAGTAATTTATCATTTTTATTAGATTGTTAATTTACGTTTATATTAGAATAACAGATTGAAATTAATGGAAAAATGTATAAAGAGACCATGTGATTTTCCATATGCTAGATCCACAACTCACATAAAATATACTTATCACACCAGATCGCTACTCCAGCCGACCGATCACCACCAATGAAGGAGCTCACCCGGCCGGTTCAAGTTATAATGATCCCGGTCTAACCCCACCTAAACCGGTATCCTTTTCGCTCGTATAAAACACCGGCTTTTCCTCTCGAAGTAGAATCTCTCTGTCCTAAACTTTTCTGTATTTAGAATCTGCTTTTTTTACCTTGGGATCTGTGATATTTTTCATTGAAAATGGCGCGAGGAAAACTTGAAGTACTTCTCGTTGGAGCTAAAGGCCTCGATAATACTGATTTTCTCAGTAAGTGATCTGCAATATTATTTGATTCGTCAATTTATTTATTTATTTTGCGGTTTTTTGTTCTGATCAGTTGAATTGGATGTGGATTTCTGTTTTCTCCTTAGAATTTGGTGGAAAATTAATATATGAAATAAACAGGAGAAAAATCAAGTCTTTAAAAAGTTTAAATTCACCATACCATAACTGATCTTATGATCCAGGAGAATTATTTCAATGGATGTACAAAAGACCTTGAATTTGTATTTTGGATCTTAATCTTGCTGATGATTAGTGAACTAGTCAAGTTAAAAAATCAAATCATTTTAGCAATTTCATCATAATATTTGATTTGATGATTGCTTGATCAAATTAAATTTTTTCATTAGTACTTTAATATTTTTATGTTACAGTGAACTAGTAAATTTAAATTTAGCTTATGCCTAGTCAAATAATGTCAAATAAAATGGACCCAAAGGAATAATCAATTCAACATTCATCTTGGCCATTTGACTTCAATTTGGGGATCTATGTTGATAAAGTGGTAAACTAAGTATTAAAAATGCACAATAGTTTGTTAAAAATAGAATATTTATTCAGATCATATTCGCCTATTTCCTTTTTTTTAATTTCTCAATTCGCTATGTATTGCTTGTTTAAATGTATTACTTATGGTGATACAGATAATATGGATCCATATGTGGTTCTAACTTGTCGATCTCAGGAGAAAAAAAGCAGTGTTGCATCAGGTACAATGTCATAATTCTTTTGGTTAAGTGTCTTAATATTATTAGTTTCACATTTATTAAAGAAAAAAATGAAGTTTGATTAATAAAATTTATAATAATCTTGATTTTGGTTTTCCATAGGGAAGGGATGTGAACCTGAATGGAATGAAACATTTGTTTTCTCTATTTCTGAGGGTGTTGAAGAACTGTTCTTGAAGATAATGGACAGTGATTCTGTAGGTGAAGATGACTTTGTAGGAGAAGCCAAGTAAGTATTATTAGAGGCGAATCTAAGATTTAAACATATTTTATTTGTATCTATAAACATAGTCTGGGTTTGACAGTATGGTCTAAGTTGCTCGGACACGGGTGCGGATCTAGAGGTCGGATTATTTAAGATGTAAATTCTAAAATTCGGGGATACGAGTATGGATACATGTGCGGGATCCGGCTAAAAATAATTCAAAAAAATAAAAATAGAAAAATATCTCTAAACTATGAGAAATTTTGTGGAATACTTACGTATATAAAGCTTTTAAAGTATGGATTTTTTTTTTATTCTCAAGTTGTAGATAAGTAAAAGATTGATTTCCTAGATAAGGTATGCCGTTTTCTTCAAATTTGCCCTAGTTTTGGTTCTGATTTCGGGAATCAAATTGTATCTCGTTTCAAATTTTCCCGTCCGTCACGGTCAAAGTACCTGAAAAATTTTGACCAAATCCAGTATGGATCCCATACCCACACTCATACTAGTGCCGTATCGACACGGGGTGCAACACCTAAAATACCATGTCAGAGCAACTTAGAGTATGGTTGTACGTGCACCCACTGCTAATATGTTGGAGATCAGCATATGTTACTTTCGAGTGATTATTTTACACGAGCGTAACCTATAAGTTGAATGGTTGATATTTGTTTTGAACTATTTTCATGTGTATGATATATGCAGGATACCAATTGAGCCAGTTTTTTCAGAAGGAAGCATCCCAACAACTGCATATAATGTAGTTAAAAATGAAGAATATTGTGGAGAAATTAAAGTTGGTCTCACTTTTACTCCTCAGGCAAGTTACTTTCTTCCCACTTTTTATTTATTGATATGCTTCACACTGGATATATCTTTTGTCCCACTGCAATTGCAAAATTTCTGAGCTCGTTTGATACTCGTAAAGGAAAAAAGATGAGTTAAATGTCACTTTTAGTCCGCAAAAGAAATTATTTATGTTGGGTAGCCGCAAAAGTGTATAAAATTTGTATATCTTTTGTATGTAACATACATAATTGTATATTTATATACAAAAAATATACTTTTTTCGGCTATTATTTTGAGAGCGGCTATACAATGTCATTTTTTCAAAGAGGAGGATGTGTATATGTATCCATGTGTGCGAGGGAGGGGGAGGGGGTGATCCGTGACATTTGGCAGCACCGAATAACAACTACTATTACGCCTCAATCTCAAGCAAGTTGAGATCAATCATATAGATCTTCACGTTCATGTCAGTTTTTCTTTTTTTTTGGTTGAAAGGATATTTATATAGGTAGCAAAAGACGTTACACAGTCGAATATTATGAAATAACCACAGATAAAGAACTCTAAAAATTAGCATATGTAGACATTTAAGTATAATTGGTATGCTAAGTGCATTGTATCCTTTTCTATGTTGCAGGAGGAGCGGGACTATGAACAAGAAGAAAGTTATGGCGGATGGAAAGAGTCTTCTTATTGATGTGAAGCATCAGTTCGTCAATCAATTTGATATTGTTCCTCAAATTACCAATTTGATTCCAAACGTTGTGTTCCAATATGTACTTAAAACGAGATTGTTGGGGTGTTCTTTCCCTTTTTTTGTGGTTTTGTGGAGAGAAGAAGCAAGAATTTGCTTGGCGCTCTTTGTCATGATTTTCAACTTATTGTCACATGAGTTGTTATATAAGGATTATCATGTAATATGATTTTACCATTGATTCCAAATTGTCAAGTTCGAAGACCATGCATATACGACAACATAGTAAAATCTCACCAGTGGGGTCTGGTAAGGATAGAATGTACGCAGACCTTGCCCCTACCCGGAGAGATAGAGAGGCAAGACCATGCGGTATAAGATTTTGAAATTCTAGTGAAGAAATCATTCGGTGTGTTCCACTTGCCCATAACACTTTCCTATTTTTGTAATAATAAAGACATTCCCAAGGACTAACTGGCATAGGGGTTTGCAGTATGGACGACGATGAACCCATCCTTTTCGAAGGATAATGAACTCGTCCCCCTACCCTTCTTACCAGCTTTTATGTGCTACCAAAGCTTAGAGATCCAACCTATTATAGAAAACATTTAGCAAACATTTGTCTATTATGCCTTTTGAAGTGGGAAAAATATTGTCTAAAGTACTAGTGATCATGAGATCTAAAAAGTTGCATCTACATTTCGACCACCCGGATCGAACAGATCTAATATATCCATCTCATCCCACATACATTTGATGAAGCATCACCTGTTGTCAATCTTCAACCAATTATAGACAGTCCCCCCAACTCTAGAAACTGCATCAAAAAAAGTTTAAAACAGCTAGAGGGTAATAGCTGCAATGCATTCACACAAACAAGAGCAGTTCCATGTTATTACTTGATCCAACACTAGTCTCTTTAAGCAATCTGATTCAACTTTTTTCTGATTCAACTTCTGATATTTGACGTTAGATTGATAGTCCTTGGCCTGGGTGTCCAAACGTGGACTTTGAGAAACAACACTACTGCAGCCCGGCGTGCTATTACTTCCAGTGGGCAAAAAGGTTTGATTTATTGGCCTGGGTGTCCATACCTGGATACTGCGATTTAACTTTAGATTGATATTCCTTAGCCTGGGTGTCCAAACCTGGACTTTGAGAAACAACACTACTGCAACCTGGCATGCTATTACTTCCAGTGGGCAAAAAGGTTTGAGTTATTGGCGGTTGCTCCTGCGGAACGTGCTCCTCTGATGGAGTGCAATGGCTAGGAACATCATTCATGTAAAAGCTGGAAGTGTTGAATAATGGCAGTTCAAAGCACCCATCATCAGCCTGAGTGTAAGAAGTATTGAATTCTTGCTGGGAAGATCCTTGAAAGGCGAGGGTATCTTCTACTGGTATCGCACCAGTAAGGGTCTTGAATGCAAATTCCATGCATGGGTCCGACCAATAATCCCCAAATGGATAAGAAGCTAGTTGTGCTTGCAATCTTCTGCTCTGCTCATCTTGATTCTCAGTTACTAGGTCTCCTGTTTGCTTTTCTCTAACAGGCTGGTTTACCACATTAAGCTCTCTACTTCTCTGTGATGATTCACCTAGTTGTGAATCTCGCCATTGCATGTTCTCATAATCGCGTTTCTCACTTACCTGCTCTACAGAACACCTTTCCGAAACATACTGGTTCTCCACAGGGAGTACCCTACTTCCCCATGCTAATTGAGCTGGCCAAGAATTGTTCAATAATCTCTTCTGACTGTCTTGTGCTGTAGGCCTTTCTTTAACCACCTGGTGCTCCAAGTGAATCTTTCCGATTTCATATGCTATTTCAGCTGGCTGAGGATCTCGCAATATTCTTCTATCATCTTGTTTCTCACTTGTTAATTCCTTCGCAGCTTTCTGCTCTTTAAAAGCTTGGCCCTCTGAAGGACACTTCACAATTTCCAACGGATCATCTTGTGATAAAGCTATTTTTCTTAGAAAGGCCTGATCTGAAGTGGCCAGATCAGCTTGCTGGGACAATTCCCGACCAGAGACAGTCAGGGGATGGCCTGAAGAGACAGATCCAGGACCACATTCACCTACATTTAAATCAGGCACCACTTCTGAGTAGTGGCCTGAGAGTCTCCTTGAAACCCGGCGAACCGGTGTAAATGACTCCTCATTTCTAATTTTTCTCGACTGCACTGGCAATTTCTTATTACTATGTTTTTTCTTCTTATTTTCTGGTAATTGCAGCTCTGGGAAGACATCCGTCTGAGGGGAAACAGCTAATGACCTTTTAACATCAACACTTTCAGCAGCTATAGCTTTTGTGTCTCCAACTGAGGCTCTTAATTCTCGTTCCACGTCTAGTCTTATTTCAGCATCTACATTTACATTTCCGCATGAATGCTTTTCTGTTATATCAGCTACAGTAGATGAACTAATGGTGTTGTTGAACACGCTGCTTTCAGGATGTTCATTGGAACTCTCAGCTTGTAGTGCCAGTGAATAAGTAACAAAACACTCTCCGCCTACATCAGCAACTCCAGTTTCAGAATTCAGAAATAACTCTCAATGATTAGAGAATTCAACAGAACAAATAAAAATGACAAGAGTAGATTGGAGGAATTGAGCAAAATTGCCAACAAAAAAGTATCACCTTTTGATTCCTCAATAGAAAAGGGCTGTCTTCCAGACAAAGAGCACCCTAATTTCTTTGAACTGGCGCCACGTGTTGACGGCTATCAAAAGAAAGAAGCTTCAACCATCAGAAATTTCTCCCTTTCAAGGAAAATCAACATACACTTGTATTGAAAACTGAAAAATTGAAGTTGCCGAACTCCAATCTTGTCACGAACTATGCATAAAGGATTGGTGATTACTGTCGCCCATTAAAGACATGCTGCTTAATGTCAATCCAATGAAAGGGCATTCCACTTAAAGTTTCCACATGCATGATTATTTGTATATGCAAGACGCTGGACATAAAGATTATCCTCCTCGTTTAAGAACTCACAAAGAAAACAAAAGCTTATATAATGCTTGAAATGGCGGTTGAAATCTGGAAATCACAAGGTATTGAGTCTTTCCTCTAACTTTCTATAGCACTGTTTTCAGCCATAGTTTTTTTTGCCCTGAGAAAAACATTTTCAGCTATAATTTATAAAGACTTCCCTCATTTAAAGAATTTATGAGGATAGGGATAATACTCAGGATGGTGGTCCAGATCTAGTAACTCTTAAGGCACTGAGTCATTCCTTTTAACCTTCTATGACATCATATTTAGCTATAGTTTCACATAAGCTATTGTCTCCACATATTCCAATTCAAATAGTATGATGTGGATTTATTCTCTTTGAACTTGGATAAGGTCATTGCTTTCAAATTTATCTTCCCTGTGAGTGTTCTCTAAAGCAGCCACTCAGTCTCAGAAGAAGCATGTCTGTTTAATAATAGGTGTAGAGCACCTCCAATACACAAAACAAAGTTTCATCACTGTTCTTACAGGATCGAATATATCTTCCTAGTAAAGGGTTCATACAAATACGATCAACAAAATTTACATGCCAGCTGAATAGCAGTAACATGGAGAACAGGCATTATCAAACAAGTAGCAAGAATAGAGTTGACAGGAAACCCCAGGTGGGGGATCCAGAAAGGTGCACTTACAGAATTACCCTTCATTTCAGAATCCGGATCCCTTTTGGTAGGTCTCATTGCACACCTACTGATGTCTCCAGTTTGCAGATAGCGCATAACATCCTTTTTGGAGCGAAATACATATCCATGAACTGGATCCGTGTAAAACTGCAACGACCAAGTTACCGTAAGATACTAACTACAAATACTTATGCAGCATTCCATGCCTGCCACATAAACAGCAACATAACCCTTCTCCAGAAGCACCCTTTCCCATGCACATCCCATTTCTGCAGAATTGTGTAAAACACTCTCTGCTTGAATAGGATGATGTGCATGAGAAAGAGAGGGAGAGAGAAGCGCGCGCGGGAAGGGAGGGTAGGGGGAGACAGAAATGCTGAGGAAGAAAGAGAAATACCGGGTCCTTTCTTATCCCACGAGCGTTTTGCCTAATTCTGATTTCTTTTTTCCAGCCTGGTGGTAATTCATCGACTGAAGCTTCTCTTCTCAAAAAAGACTGATAAGAATTGCCAGTTCCTACAGTAGGATCTTTCTTCTGGGCAAGTATTTCCTTTTCCCAGCCTGGGGGTAATTCATCCGCTGAAGCTTCTCTGCTCAGTAAAGCCTGATCAGAATTGCCAGTTTCAACTGTCGGACAGTTGTTCCAGGTAAAGCCTGGTGGTAATTCATCCGCTGAAGCCTCTCTGCCCAGAGAAGCCTGATCAGAATTGCCAGTTCTTCCTGTCAGACCTTTATTCCGGGTAAAGCCTGGTGGTAATTCATCCGCTGAAGCCTCTCTGCTCAGAGAAGCCTGATCAGAATTGCCAGTTCTTCCTGTCGGACCTTTATTCCAGGTAAATCCTGGTGGTAATTCATCCGCTGAAGCTTCTCTGATCAAAGAAGCCTGATCAGAGTTGCCAGTTCTTACTGTCGGACCATTATTCCAGGTAAAGCCTGGTGGTAATTCATCCGCTGAAGCTTCTCTGCTCAGAGAAGCCTGATCAGAATTGTTAGTTCCTACTCTTGGACCTTTATTCCAGGTAAAGCCTGGTGGTAAGTCATCTGCTGAAGCTTCTCTGGTCAGAGAAGCCTGATTGGAATTGCCAGTTCCTAATGTCGGACCTTTATTCCAGGTAAAGCCTGGTGGTAATTCATCCACTGAAGCTTCTCCGCTCAGATCTTTGTTCTGGATAAGTATTTTCTTTCCCCAGCCTGGTGGTAATTCATCCGCTGAAGCTTCTTTGCTCAGAGAAGCCTGATCAGAATAGCCAGTTCCTACAGTAGGATCTTTGTTCGGGGCAAGTATTTCCTTTTCCCAGGCTGGTCGTAATTCCTCCGCTGAAGCTTCTCTGCTCAGAGAAGCCTGATCAGAATTGCCAGTTCCTACAGTAGAATCTTTGTTCGGGGCAAGTATTCCCTTGTCCCAGCCTGGTGGTAATTGATCTGCTGAAGCTTCTCTGCTCAAAGCCTGCTCAGAATTACCTGTTCCTACTGTAGGATCTTTGGTCGGGGAAAGTATTTCCTTTTCCCAGGTTGGTGGTAATTCCTCCACTGAAGCTCCTCTGCTCAGAGAAGCCTGATCAGAATTGCCAGTTCCTACTGTCGGATCTTTGTTCGGGGCAAGTGTTTCCTTTTCTAAGCCTGGGGGTAATTCATCGACTGAAACTTCTCTGCTCAGAGAAGCCTGATCAGAATTGCCAATTCCTACAGTCGGATCTTTGTTCTGGGCAAGTATTTCTTTTTCTAAGCCTGGTGGTAATTCATCCGCTGAAGCTTCTCTGCTCAGAGAAGCCTGATCAGAATTGCCAGTTCCTACTGTAGGATCTTCGTTCTGAGCAAGTTCCTGACAACAGTCATTCAGGGGAATGCCCAAAGAGGCAGATTTCTTAACCACAGCTCGAAAAGCACGTTCACCTAGATCCAAATTAGCCACTGGTTCTGGGCTGTGGCCGACAAGTCTTTTTGAGATCCGACGGCCAGGTGTAGTTGACTTCTTATTTCTGGATCTTCTCGACTGCTTAGGTGTTTCTTTATTAATATGTTTTTCCTGCTCATTTTCTGGTAATTGCTGCCCTGGGAGTAGATCTGACAGAGGAGTTGAAACAGCTGATAGCCTTTCAGCAACCACACTTTCAGCAGTTATGACTTTTGTGTCTGCATTTGAGTCTCTTATTTCTGGCTCCGTGTCCAGACTCATTTCAACATTTTCAATAACATTTTCACATGAATGCTTTGTGTTTATATCAGCCGCTGATGTAATACTGGTGTTTGCGTTGGAGGCACTGTTTTCACGCTGTTTCTTTGAACTCTCAGCTTGTACTGCAGGTGAATAAGTAACAGCACGTTTTTCACCTACATCAGCAATCCCAGTTTCAGAATTGAGAAATAAGTACCGATATTTAAAGAGTTTATACAACATATACCAAGGGAAAAGAGTAGAATGAAAGAATTGAAATGACTGCTAGTGATGCCCTGATACTTAATTAATGATATATCTCCTCTAAAAGTTGGGGTGCAAGGGAATATTAACTAAGAAGTATCACCTCTGGATTCCTCAGCTGCAAAAGGTTGCCTTTCAGTCATAGCGCACCCTAATTTCTTCGAACTGGTGTTAAGTGCTGCGGGCTACCAAAAAGAAAATTTTCAACCGTCAGAAAATTCTCGCATTCAAAGTAAATTAACATCCATTAGTCCTGAGATCAAATAATTGAGCTTGCCAAAACTGAATCTCATCACAAACAGTGAAATACATAGGGGATTCGTGCTTACAGCCCATGACAATAAAATAAGGGCTAGTTAAAAGTTAAAACAAGGTACGGAAACTTCAGGGTCACGCAAGAGAATATTAAGTATGCTTATGAATATTGGAGCTCTTGAAAAGTTGGTAAATCCATCAGGAAAAGGAAAGTGATCCCTGCAAGAATTTTTTGGTGTTTTTAGACAGAAGGAACCGCAGATATTTTGATGGAATATCAACTCCAATTCACTCCCTTAAGCACTAGATGTCTTTTATCTTTATTTAGTTGGTGCAATCTACCTCCTGTAAATACCCCTGACAAACTTTTGGACTTTGTTAGCTCCTATCCTAAGCATAGAACTTCATGTAATGGAGGCCAACAAACTCTCTTTTGTAATAACTATCTTTTGTACTCTTTGCATATTCTTGATTCCATCAATGAAACCACTTCATTAGAAAAAAATCAAGGTTATTCTATTATATAAAGAGTTAAGACATGCAGTGAAATGTTAATACAATGAAAAGACATTCAACTTGAACAGTTAAATTTGATATGTAAAATACTAGATATAAAGATTTTCCCCCTCATTTAAAGAACTTACAAGAAAAAGGACAACGGTAATGCCCAGGATGGTGATTCAGATCCAGGAACCATCAGGTATGGAGTCATTTCTTTTAACCTTCTATCGCATTAGCTAGAGTTTATCATGGTTTTCCTATTTAAAGAACTTAGAAGAAAAGGTTGTTCATAATGCTCATCAGCTCATGGTTCAAACTGGAAACAGAAGGTACTGAGTCATTCCTTCTAACCCTCTTGAGCATAGTTGGTATAGAATCATAAGCTACTGTCTCCACATATTTATATTCGAATAGTATGATCTGGATTTATTCTCTTTAAACTTGGGAAACATCTGCATCTTCAGAGAGAGAGAGAGAGAGAGAGAGAGGGATAAACTCCACCGCCCAAATCCCCTACTCCGGATCCAACAGTTACCCTTCCCCACTTTCCGCCCTTCATGACTCAAACCCAACCTGCTTGGAGGTGGACAGGCTTTACAACTAGGCTATCCACTCTTGACAAGTTGTAGTTGACTCAAGTTACTGCTTTCACGGATTTAATCTGTGTTCCTTTTATATTCCCTAGTTCAGCCACTCTGTCTCAGAACAAAGCATACCTATTTTAGAAGAGGTTCTTCCTGAAACAAAATACAGAAGGCACCAACTTCACCACAGTTCTTTACAAGATCTAATATATTTTACTAGTAGAGGGTTGAAACTGCCACATAGCACTGGAGGCACCATCATACTAATATGACCAACAAGGTTTAGCAGTAATGTGGAAAATGGAGCTTATCCAACAAATAACAATAACAGAGGTGACAGGAGAACCGGAGGGAGGTGCAGAAATGTAAATGACTTACAGAACTCTCCTTCATTGTTGCATCTAGATCCCTTTTGAAAGGTTTTATAGCACATTTATTAATGTCCCCAGTCTGTAGATAGCGCAAAACATCCTTCTTGGAGCGGAATACATATCCATGCACTGGATCAGTGTACAACTGCAATAATCAAGTCAACTTAAAATCCGCACTGAAAAACTTCGAATATAAATCTACTTATGCAGCACCCCTCACATAAGCAGCCCCTACTGCTAATGTACCACAGCTTTTCTCATGCATAACCCATTATGGCATAATGGTGCAAAATACACTCTGAGTGAAGAGGATAATGTGCATGCAACAGAGAGAGAGAGAGAGAAAGAGAGTACCGGGTCTTTTCTTATCCCACGAGCCTTTTTTGTAACTTTGATTTCTTTTTTCCAGCCGGGGGGTAATTCATCCACTGAAGCTTCTCCACTCAAAGAAGCCTGATCAGAGTTGGCAGTTTCCGGTGTAGGATCGGAGTGCTGGAGCAATTCTTGACCACAGACATTCAGGGAGGCAGATTTCTCAACTACAGCAGGAAGAGCATGTTCACCTAGATCCAAGTCGGTCGCTGCTTCTGGTTCTCGACCTGCAAGTCTTTTGGAGACCCGACGACCAGGTTTAAGTGACTTTGGATTTCTGGATTTTCCAGACTGCTGCGTCCCTGCTTTATAATTATGCTTTTCCTGCTCATTTTCTGGTAGCTGCTGCTCTGGGAGGAGATCTGACTGAGTGGAAACCGCTGATAGCGTTTCAACACCAACACTTACAGTTCCTATTTCAGCATCTTCATTTACATCTTCAAAGGAATGGTTCTCATTTATCTCAGCTAAAATGGATGTGATGATGATGTTAGGATCAGACACACTGCAGTCAGGAAGTTTCTTGGAACTCTCAACTTGCTGTGCAGGTGAGCAAGTAAAAAAACTATTTTCCCCTACACCAGAAATTCCAGTTTCACAATTGAGAAATAATTATCAACATCTAGGGAAAGCAGGTCAACATATTAATGAAGAAAAGTAAAATGAAGGGAGTTGAAATGACTAGTATGAATGACCAGATATTGAATAAATAATGTATGTCCTCTCAGACTGGGACAATGGGGCAATCTTTTTCTTTTTTAATGGTAGCATATCACAATGGGGCAATATTTCCAACTACAGATTATCACCTTTCGCCTCCTCAGTGGCAAAAAGTTGTCTTCCTGTCACAAAGCACTCTGATTTCTTCAAACTGGCATCATCTGCCGTGTGCTATCAAATGAAATAAGTATCCGACCATCAGTGATCCTCCCATTCAGGGTAAATCAACATCCACTAGTCTTGATAATAAGCAAATTGAGCTTGCAAACTTCATGTGTATAAAAGATTAAGGCTGATTACAGTACTGACACCAAATAAGGCTAATCAAGAACAAGGTGGAGGAATTTCAAGATCAATCAGTTACACAGAAAGAGAGCATATACCCATGCTGAGAAATGTTAATATGGTGAAAAGCCATTTAACTTTGATTTTACACTTGAATGACTATATTTGATATGCAATAATAGACAAGATTCCTCCTAGAATCGTAAGGTATTGATCAATCCTTCTGCCACCGATCAAATAGTCATTAGCCAAATTACATGTAAGATTCTTTTTTGTAGAAAGCTAAATTACATGTAAGATTGTCTTCACCTTGCATAGTATTCTCTTTAAACGTGGATACTACTTCTAATGTGACTTAAATTTCACTAATTCAATGAGCCTGCTTTAGAATAGCTTCTTCAGTAGGGATGGCAGTGGGGCGGGGCGGGGCGGGGCGGGTTTGGACTAAACCCGCAAAACTTTCAACCCGCCCCGCCCCGCATAGCAAATTTTCTGTTTTCAGCCCGCCCCGCCTAGCACCCGCAAAACCCGACCCGCCCCGCCCCGCATAAGTTTCATTTTTCTTTTTTCTTTCATTTAAAAAATTAATCATTTCCATTCTTTTTTATTGATGGACTTGCTGTCATTGAAGGACAAATTTAAATTGTTATTAGGTACAATGTTCGTTATATTAAGTCAACAAAACCAAGTTTAATATAAATATACACACAAATTTATGTAAATATTAAAACTATAATTAAAAAAAATAACGTTTAGAATATTAAAAATCGACAAATTAGGTTTTCAACATTTTTAGTCGAAAAGACATCCTTCCAAATCACTGAAACGTAAAAGAAAACAACTGTTGTTTCATTCTATACTTCTAAATTTTGTGTTGCCTTTCAAATAAATGTAAAAAAAAAAAAAAAAGGAAGTCCTTTTCTTCTTCTAGATTACTGAAGTTTTCTATAAAATATGTTATCGAATTATTTCTTGAAACCCAAATAGAGTTCTTGCTTTTAGTAATTAATTTCACTATATTTTTTAACAAGACTTTTGGAACAGTAAATCTAGTTTGCTTCTGTGTGACACTATTTTAACTCTGTTTAACTTAATTAAAATACAATACCAAAGAATAGAATATAACACAAAATTTCAATATAAAATACCATAAAATCACCATTCAATCATGTTATCCTTTTTCAGATTTCTTTTTTAATAGCTCAAACAGGCTAAGAATAGTTTAAACAAAAACATTAAGATCAGTTTACGGTCGTAGAAAATGAGTTGATAATCCCACAAAATAACACAAAAGATAGAAACAAAGAAACTGTTTATTAGAAATAGACAAACAAAATTGGGTGAAGCATTTTAATTTTTAATATATTAATAAGAGCAAAACAGAGAGCAGATTGCTTTAATGGTTTCAACCCACAAACCGCACCGCCCCGCTTGAAATTTTTACAAAAAGGCAGTCAACCCGCCCCGCCCCGCCCCGCCCCCGCATAAGAGCAAACCCACCCCGCCCCGCATCAGAGAAAACCCGCCCCGCCCCGGCCCGCACCCGCCCCGCCCCATTGCCATCCCTATTCTTCAGTACCTCCAATACACGAACAACGTGTTACAGAAGCACCAACTACACCACTACTCTTACAGGATGTAATATGTTTCCTACTAAAGGGTTGAGACTGGTGCATCTCGCTGGAGGCAACAACATAAAAATATGACCAACAAGGTTCTGTACGCAAGCTGAGGAGCACTAAAATTAAAAAAGGAGTTATCAAACAAGTAGCCTGATAACAGTGGCAACCGGCGACATGTAGGGGGTAGGGGGGGAGGGGAATCGAGAAAGGCGTGGACTTACAGAATTATCCTTCATAGTTGAAGCTACATTCCTTTTAGAATGTCTTCTAGCACACTTACTAGTGTCTCCGGTTTGTAGATAGCGGAAAATTTCCTTTTTGGAGCGAAATTTATACCCATGCACTGGATCCGTGTAAACCTGCAATGACCAAGTCAATATAAAATTCTCAACTTTGAATATATATCTACTGTTGCAGCATTTCATATCTATCATACAAGGAGCCACCAAACCCTGCTCCCATAGCACCTTTCTCATGTATGCTAAAATACTGCATAATGGTGCAAAATAGAATGTCCCCCTTGAATAGATTATGGGTATGTGAGTATATATATGTATGTTTATATGTGTATATGTGTATATGTGTATATGTGTATATATATACACACATATATATATCGATGTGTGTGTATATACATAGAGAGAGAGAGAGGGGCTGAGGAATAAAGAGAGATACCGGGTCTTTTCTTATCCCACGATCAGTTTGTCGAATTATGACTTCTTTTTTCCAGCCTGGGGGTAATTCATCCACTGAATTGCCATCAACTGCAACCTAGATATTTACAACAAAAGTAACCTATGGTGAATAATAGCTCACCTATAAATCATATATATCAGAAGCATCTGAGGTATTAAAGAACAAACAGTCTTTGCAGAGGGACTGTCACTGCCAGGTTTCTGCCTTTTGGATAAGGGACTCTGGACCCCGTTTTCTTTGGAATCTAGAGATGCTTTCTCATTTAAAGAGGAGTCCTCTCCAGCACCATGCTGAAACAAAAACATAATTACATGAGAATACTTGCAATATCTCAAGGCTACACCCATTGAATTGCTTTCAACAGCAACTTAGATAGTACTCGAGAATCAGTAAATCCATACTGAATTAAAATCTCAAATATTTTCAGAAGTATGTTGAGTATATTACAGAAGGAGAAGTCTTTGTAGAGGGCCTGTTAATGCCAGAATTATGTGTTTTGGATATGCAACTCGGTTCCCCAACTTCTTCAGAATCCTGAGATGGTTTCTGCTTGGAAAATGACCCCTCCTTGATGTCATGCTGAAACAAAAACATAATTTGACGAGAATAAGTTGCACTACCTAAATGCAACACCCAATGAATTGCTTTCAACTGCCACTTATATGTTACTAGAGAAATCGGTAACATACTAAATTACACAGCTAACAACGGAATCTTTAGCGTTGTCATGAGTATATTACAGAACAAATAGTTTTTACCGAGGGCCGATCGCCGTCAGATTTCTGCCTTTTGGATATGCGACTCTGGCCCCCGATATCTTTGGAATTCCCAGATGCTTTTTGATTTGAAGAGGATACTTCACCAGTTCCATGCTGAAACAAAAACATAATTACACATGAAGATGTTGTAATAACTCAAGGCTACAAAAGCTACTATCAACTTCTTTTCTGCCAGTTGCTCCCTCCATCAAACTTTTACCTACTCTTTCCTAAAAGGAATGTCCAAAATATGTGTCAGGCTGCCCAAAGACAGATTTTTTTCATTTCAAACTAGTTACAAATGTATGGTGCAACTCTCCAGAGTAATTTTTCGTTTAGGGGGCCACTGCCGAATAAATACGCGAAACGTTCTTTTTACTTATACAGCGTAGAAACAGAGTACTCATTATTAGAGTTATGCAGGTAGAGATACCAAGAAGGAGATCAAATCTCATCCAAAGTACTTTTTCTTTATATTTGTTTTCGCTGTACCAGCTTTATTATGTGGCATTGTATGACTTCTCCTAATAATCAAAGCTGAACTAGTTTCTTAAAACATTTTAAAGATCAGGTTCATAAACATAATTTTGACTTGAGAAGAATGATATTTGGCATCTTGAGCAAAGAGGATATCTTCAACTCCAATAGATGTACGTGTATGAATCATTTAGAAAAAAGGTATAAAAACTAAAAACAGAATGTCATGGTGAGAAAGTCGAAAGGGAGAGAGTGTACTATCTGTTCTTCTCCTGTGATGTTGTTCAGCTTCATAGTTTTGAGATATTTAGATACTTCCGGCCTTGAATAGAATTTGTTTCCAGTTGATGGATCAATGTAAACCTGGAAGAACAGCCAAAAACAATATGAATGTAAAGATGAGGGTGTGATTGGAGCATGTTATCTGCAAAATAGCATCATTACTGCTCTAAAGGCCATGGTTCTTGCTGAGAAGTCGCAAACTCGGACTACACATTCTGCTGCATAGTATTGCAGCAACGGAACTGTTAAAAAGAAAAAGAGACTATAACAAGCTAAGCCCCTAAGGAAGTTTCTAGGAATACTTGGTTGAAGTTCCTATGAAAACAAGAACTCAAAATTTGTATATTTAAATTAAATCATGAGGCTTCTTACTGAAAATTTCTGTTTTCTCTATAATATTCCACTAATTATCAAACCTCGCCTAGATGCAGCAGATCACTGCTTCAAGAGTTAGCCTGATGATTAAACTAATCAAGGTGTTGATAATAGAACCAAATTTGATTTTGCTAAAACACATTATAAACAATGTTGTAAAATAGCAATTTTTATAAAGCTCACAGGGCATTTTACCCTCCATTATAATTTGAGGCCATTCATACCCCCCCCTGTTAGGAAATCCTCATATTTGCTCTTGACCCTAATGGAGCTCCAATCTGAAGTATAACGAGGGATAACTTCAACCCAGTAAAAGGTAGAAGGGTAAATTTGGACCTTTTTCGACATGTGGAATTCACCCCGTCCACGCTGGATTGCCGTTAAAATCAAGGGCAAAATGTCTCAGTAGGGGTATAGATGGCCTCAAAGTATAACTGAGAGTAAAATAAAGATATTTCATATAGTAGAGGGGTAAATTTGGACTTTTCCCTATATTATAAACCCTATATAACTAGTATTAAACAGAAGTAGATATTGCCTGGAATCTGCATTTTCATCAATACCTCAGTTAACAAATATTATTGGCATTTTGGGACTCAGATAAACTACCAGCAGAACCAAAAGCAGCATGACCATTTGTATGCCACGGAGTGTCATATACATGGAATTGCATGAGCAATGTTATCTGTTTACTTAAGTGAGAAATCTTGCAAAAAGACATGCTGATACAACACAGAAATTGACACACTGCTAATCTTTCAGAAAGTTCACACTAAAAGAAATATAAAAGACACGTATTATAACAAATCATAGCCACAAGTATGAGATTGGTAGATTTCCATTTCCATACCTTGTAAGCCAAACCAGCATTGGAGCCAGACTTACGAGTCCTCAACTCAACTATCCAACCTGCAGGTAACCACTCAGGAGATTTCTTTGTTTCCTCAACAATCTGACAATAACAAGTGACAGATCTCAGAAGATAAACCACGCACAAAAAAGTAGAATGTCGTTGTTACTTCACCTTCAAAACTCACCTGACTAACATTGTTCTCGGAGCAGCTCTTATCTTGATAATTCATTTGACTAACATTGTTCTCAGAGAAGCTCTTATCTTGATGATTCATTTGACTAACATTGTTCTCGGTGCTACTCTTATCTTGATTCAGTACTTGAGCTACATCATGGCAAGTATCTTTTGTCTTCATATACCGAGTGACTTCCTTCTTGGAATAGAACTTTTTCCCAGTTTCCACATTTGTGTAGTACTGAAAAGAGAAATGACAGCAGCATGTGATGCAAGCCGTATAAGCAGAAAGATTATGAGATCTCTTACATGACATCATTTAACGGCCCCATATGTAACAATCTTTAAAGTGCAGATTCTAATGTTGCAACATCACTGCACATATCCAGATTAGCCAAGACAAGTCGGGAACACAATTACAAATTTACATGAGATACTCCAAAGAGAATATGAAGCACATCGAGAAGAGTTCAAAGACTGAGGAAAGTTTCAATTCCTAAAGGAAACAACCTTATGCTAGATCCATCATTCTTACAAATTGAGTCAACAGATTTGAACCTGAGACCTCATGGTTTTTCTCACACTTCATTGCACACTAGGCCACACCCTTGGTGCGATAATTTCCAAATAATTAAAAGACTGGTAAGTTATACATATGGATAATGGCCACTTAAATCACAATCAACTATGCATCAATCCCATATCACTTGGGATCGAATATATGAATCCTCTAAACCATTCCACTCTATTCGAGTTTGTTACATTCCAATACTAAATATTTGTGCTTTAAGGCAAATTAGGGTTCTGTTAAGCTATAGGTTCTCTAACTCTCACACTTATCTCTACGACTCTACTCTGTCATAAAAGTCTCTAAAACTAAAAACATTATTGGCCATAATACCAACTAGTAGTTGGTATGCATACAAATCTAGAAAGGGGAAAATTGATTTTTTTTTCTTTTTGATAAACGTGGTGTCCGGGCCAGCTTGCGCGCACCTCGACTATTTCCACAGGATACCTGTCACCTCCCACCAGCAACAGGTACCAGCTAACTCTATCCACCAAGGCTTGGATAGATGGGAAGAAATTGATTTAGACTCTGGTCATTTAACGATGATGTCAGTAGTGGAGCCAGGATTTTATACGAGGAAATTGCACACATTCAATCCAATTTGGACATGTGACCTAAAGTAATTTGAACCCCCTTTGCTGCTTTACAAGAATTTTCCCCATATAAAGGGGATTCAACAGCTTTATATACACACACAGGGGCGGAGGCAGAGTTCGGCCGAACCCGGTAGCTTTTGTTCCAACCATGCATATATTTGTCTTAAGAAATCTATTGAATATGTACAACTTATTAATTTAGAATACAGTAACTTAAAAGGATTACAAACCCGAACACATAAGGTTCAAATCTTGGCTCCACCTCTGCGCGCGCGCGCACACACACACAAACAAAAAAAAAGAGTTTTTACTACAGTATAATTCTTCAGCAAATGGGATTCAATAAAACCATTTTCGATAAAATGAGTAATTCAAGATTCTACATGCAACTGGTTTACCAAGTTGATCAAGCCCATAAATCAACAATAATAAAGTTATTTGAATAACCCCATAAAAATTTACCATAGACCTATCTGGAGTTAACTACAAAATTGATAGATTACGCACTTTAAAAAATCGAACTTGAACAAATAAAGGGGAAATTGAGCTAAATTACCGCAAATCCATTTGGATTTGAACGAATATCAAAGAATAAAACACAGATTAACAGCAGCAATATCCTAATTCATTATAAATTAGCTAAAAAAAACTTTCAATTATTTAACCTTGGTTTTTCTTCCGCTAGTTATTTTGACATCCTCAGTCCATCCAGGAGGAGGCCAATCCGCCGGCGAATCTCCGACGGTCATATCGCCGGAATCTACTCACGATTTCAGCTGAAAATGAACACTTTTAAGGGTTGGGTCAACAAAGGCTGAAAGAGTAAATAGAAAGGTTATGTTAGGCAACTGGACTATATGCGAAGTGGAGAAACACGTGTCCGAAATGTTTTCTAGTACATAAAATTACTACTTCATACATAATTTTATATTTTTTTATATAATCTACTCCTAATACAAAAGTTTATTAATTACTAATCAATGTTTTTTCCCTTATCACATCACATCACATCTATATGGAGTAAATGGGAAGTACTGAAAGTCTTTATGTGTTTAATCAAATACAGATTTGTCAATGGAAAAATAAATTATTTAATATTATATTTTGACCTGATAAAATAAAAACTCAATAAAAAATAAATACGAGATTCATATTAAAGGTTTGAGCATTTAAATAGAGTTTTTTAATAATTTAATATTAAAACTTGTATAATATCAATTACTAGTAGATAAATTTGTTCACAGGTTGCTATCGGCCATAATACTTGCAAATTAACTCTCATCTAGTCATTTTACTTTGATAAAAGTACTATACTAATTTAGTGGTTATTGTCCCTATCGAACCTTTCAACTATGCTTCATCACTAATAATTTGTCTAATTTGTATTGACATGTTTGTTAAACATAAAAGGGAAAATATAAAAAGACAAGAAAAGAAACAAAATTATAAATACTTGTATAATTTGTAATTTATAGCACTATTTGTGATTTTCAAATACTTAATTTTGTTTTCGAAAAATTTATCAATGCTCCTACTATTTCTTTGGAAATGACACTATTAGTGTACCAACAAATTTATTTCGTTAAAAAAGTAGCATGATTAGCTACAACAAGTTTTCTATAGTAATCTTAATTTGGGAACGTAAAATGCACTAAATTACTTGGTATAACCGGTTTAATATTAGCATAAAAATCATTCGAAATCTTACAGAAATGTTCCAAAAGGGTCAACTTACCAATTTCTAGCCATTAGGCATAAACTTACCAAAACTAGCTAAACACGTATAAAAATTGAAAATCCAAAGAAATAAAGTTCTTTCTCTCCACGAATCATACAAAATATCTCCTTCCATATTTTCAAGCGTGATTAGCAACATTAGATGCAAGGCGGAAATGAAATTTCATGGATGAGGAAGCAAACAAAGTGATGAAATATAAATATATATATATATATACTCACACATACACACACACACAAGATTCCAAAAATCTAAGTTAAAAATGACTTTTTGCAATGGGTATGGTTGAAATTCATTGAAAACATATAAATGAGTCGATATACAAAATTTAAGGAAGACTGTAGGTGATTTGAACTGATTTGGTATCAAAATTCGTAGTTAAAATCGAGTTAGCGACACATATATCAAACATGTATCTCACACACATGTATACATGGATTTACATGTGATATACACTTGATACATATGTGATACACAAGTTATACAGTGTGATACACGTATCACTTTTATCATATTCATCTTCTATTTCGAATTTTCAATCGAACTGTCTTAAAATCCATCAAATCTCCTTAAGATATACCTAATCTAATATAATAACACCCACTCAAAAAAAGTAAAAATTTGACTTTTTTGTTGCAAATAGCGAATTGGCTAATAGTAGTAATATTTTATGAATTGACCAATTTATAATAAGCTACTTATAAATGGATATAGGTAGTATTTTTCCCAAAATCATTTACCATATTAATGTGGTCAGTATGTCGCATAATTTAATGAGACTTTGTAACTAAAAATGCGACACACATTCGCTGAGCAATACAGAAACCTACCATTTAGGCTAACACTTCCCCTTTCTTCCCGTTGACGTCCCCTACCCCCCCCCCCCCCTCCCCCCCCATTTCACCATTTTCGCCGGCGAACAAAGGCGCGAAGCCTCACCCTCTGATTCTGTCTGAATTATAACAAAAATTACCTACAAATCAACCTCAAACTCTTCGCAGGCTGATGTTCATCTGATGTTTGGAGAACTAGTTCCCGGGCACATGTGTTTCACGTGTATCCCATATAATTAGTATAAAATTGACAAAATTATATTGTATTGTACATGAATGGTAAACGCAACAATTTGAATATTTAAGCTAAGAAAAATAGAAGAAGAAGATGATGATATATAAGAATTATAAATGTTAGCTCTAAAAATTACTTCTTCCACTTTTGTCTTTGCACTTCCTTTAAGAAAAAATAAATGAAATGTATTTTATATTTTACCCATAATAATGATAGCGTTTTCAAAAGTCTTGGGAACTGATTTGGGGAATGAGTAGTTAATGATAATAGTAAAATAGGAAGAAAAAAAAGATTATTTTGCTCTTGATTTAGTATAGTGGATAAGTAAAAGTGAAAATGTATTTTAGTATGGACAAGTAAAAGTAAACGGGGGGAGTATTATACGCATGAGAAGTTAAAGAGCTTAACTTTGTATAGCGAAGAATTTAGATACATGTACCTTAATAAATTCTTTGACAATTCTAATGCAAATTTATATTACAAAACTAACTTTTATAGTCTACATATTTTTTTATTAATATTGAAGGTATTATTAAATATTAATATAGCTATTAAGGGCATAAAATCCAACAATATTATAGGGTTATTTTAATCTTTGATATTCAACTTTTGATCTTTATGCTTATAATATAATATATGAATAAGAATGAATATGAATGATAATATGAATGATATGATTAAACAACTTCCTTTTATTAATTATAGAAGATGATGTATTCAGAGGCGGACCCACGTTGTGGGTTGAGGGGTCACGAGACCCTGTTAGTTTCAGCAAAAATTCTGTATATATAACTTATGTATATTTATACATGTATATGGACGCCTTAAATATTTGCCCTGTGCCCCCAAAACACAAAAAATCGTTCAGGAGAAGTGGTGTTGTGCGTTTAAGTTTCTTGCTTTGCTAGTGGATGGATGTGGGTTCGAAACTATCTTCTGCTTTTTCTCCTCCTTCCCATTTTAGTTCTTGCTTTAATACTTAGCAAATAGCTTTATTTTTTACTTTTATCTTTAAAAAAAAATCAATTATAGTTTAGCACTAACACATACTACTCAACTTAATTAATTTTTCTTTTTCAAATTCCTCCCTTAAAATTAAAGCCTCAACTTGCAACTTAACACTCCACAAATAGAAAAATATAAATCTTTCTGCCACAACCTTCTTTAACAATCACTTTGACTCCGACTCGATAATGGCAACTAAGAGTTTGAGACTTTTCTTCGGTTCTTTGACTATTAAAATACCCCTAATCTTGATTGCTTTAGTAAGTTTTTGATAATTTAAAGTTTGAACGCCCTTTTGATCATTGACCTTTTTTAAAATTAAATAACTAGAAATTTAAAGTGTGAAACATGCTTAATCAAATACCTTCCGCTCTCATAGCACCCATTTTGCGAAAAAATCCTTCTCTCTGCTCGGGCTTTTTTTTTCTTTAGAAATTTTTTTGTTTTTACTTGGATGATAAGTCATCATAATCATTCAGTTCAAAGAGTTGCACATCGAATTTTGTCGCTAGTGATTAGCATACTGTGGTGCCCTTGTCGGTGCTCAAATCCTTGGTCCGCCTCCAGATGTATTGCTTGGTTGGGGTTTAAGTTTCCTTCCAGTTTCTACATATTTGGATCTTTATTGGCTTTGAAGCCACGATTAGATTTAGTGCACACTAGACATCAATTGTCACAAGAAGATTGTGGTGAAGATACATTGTTTGCCCAAATGATGGCCTTTTTTTATCTCATTTGTATTCCCTTGTTTGGTTGTCCATAAATACCTCATTTCTTTTGTTTTGCACAATGTGCCGCCATTAGGCTGTTTTTACTGCTTGTGTGGAATTAATGAGCTCTGCCATCAGTCTCTTGTTTTCTGGATGTTGAATTTGTGAATCGAAGCTGAATTTTAGACTAAGAAATGAGAGAAGAAATTGGGGAAGAAGAAAGCCCAACTTCATTATCGAAAAATAACCGACTTTGTACAGTGTTAACTACTCCTTATATACTAATACAATTAGACTAACTAATTGCTAACTATAGTTAGTTAAACTATGATTAGACTAAACTCTAATTATCTTAAGTTACTTCACTGCCCAATGCATTTATACTCTCAACACACACACACACACACACACACACACACACACACACACACACACACACACACACACACACACACACACACACACACACACCTCAAGCTAGGGGAGGTGAAGATGTTCTTCATCCCTAGATTGGCTAACAAATAGCTATGCTGCATTCTGCTCAAGCCTTTGGTGAGAATGTCAGCTTGTTGATCAGCAGTATTGACATAAACAGTGTGGATCAACCCTAACTGGATCTTCTCACGCACAAAAATGACAATCGATGTCTATATGTTTGGTCCGTTCATAAAAGATAGGATTAGCTGCAATTTGGATTGCTGATTTACTATCACAGTAGATAGGAACTGGATTTTGTTGAGTAACACCCAACTCCTTAAACAAACCAGTACGCCAAACAATCTCAGCCATTGTTGAAGTAAGACTCATATATTCTGCTTCAACAGAACTTCTGAAAACTGTGATTGTTTCTTGGACTTCCATGAAATAAGGGAATCACCAAACTTCACTAGATAACCTGTTATTGACCTCCTACTGTTGGGGCAAGCTGCCCAATCAGCATCACAGAAAGCTGCTAGTGAGCCAGAACAGTCAGCTTTCATCAACACCCCCAAGCCAAGACAGTTTTTGATATATCTCACAATCTTGAGAGCAACATCCATATGAGAAGATTTAGGACTGTGCATAAACTGACTCAGTGTTTGAACTGCAAATGAGATGTCCGGCCTAGTGATTGTTAAGTACAACAGCCTTCCAAGTAATCTTTGGTATGGTCCTGGATCCTCTAATAGAGCATCATCATATGTAGAGTTTGTGTGTGTATCAAACTCCAATGTGGTCAGCTTGGCATTCAATTCCAAAGGTGAACTCATAGGTTTAGAACCTGATAAGCCCAGATTAGCAATTAACTCCAGGCTATACTTCCTTTGATACATCAAGGT